GTCCATAGAGAAATTCAAGAATAGTTTATATTCATAAAATAAGAACAGAGGTTATTAAAAATAGTACAGCATTTTAGAAGTACAGAAATAATGATGATGATATCTCCCTAGATTCCTCCCAAAGTCCCTCATAGATAAATTGAGGAAAATGTTGGGTACTTGAAAAATCTCTCACAATGAATGATAAAAAGGCAAAGGGCTCCAAATTATATAAGAACATTTAGTAGAGGAAAAATCCATGAGGTTCAAAATCTAACAAACAATAATTCCAGAGAGTACACAAAAAATGGACAAATTTTTAACAAAATAACAAGACAATTTTCTGACACTGAAGGCCATGACTCTTTAAGTTGGAAGTATCTGATACCAATGACCTTTTTAAAAGGCATAAACCTAGATATATCATCACAGGCTTTTTATAGTATCAAGATTAAAATTAAATTATATAAAATATTCACTAGAAAATAAATATCTATCTACCTATATCCAATATCAGTCATGTATGAAGATGCAATACAGACATTTTCACAATTTCATCTTCTAAGCAGCTTTTTAAAGAAAGAGGAGGGTATGGAATCTAAGAGACAGAAGTTCCAAACCAGGAGAGCTGTGCAGTGAGTCTAGAGAGCAATCAGCAAAATCTGTCCCAAACAGAGGATTCTGGTAGTGAGAATCTTTGGAATTGATGATGATTGAAATCATGGATAAAGATGATTTGAAAGGCATCATAATTGGTGGAGGATCCACTCAGATATGATGTTAGAAATGTACTCCTTTGTCAAGCATCACACGGGATCCACAGTGGTCGGGGGAAATGTGACTGTTGGGTCCCACATGGATCTGCCCTTCTACCATAATGCAAAGGCTTGTCTCTGGCTTTCAAGTCTTTGAATCAAGCTACAGAAAATACTGGAAGATTGACAATGGTAACAGAAGAGATGGCAAATGTAATAAACCATAACAATATAAAGATCAAGTATGATGATAGAGGTTGTGAATATGAAGGGTGAAAACATGGGAGAACTAACACCCTGATCTTACAAAATGAGTGATAAGAGATAAAGTCTGAGTTAGATAAAAAAACTGGAGACTTACCTTTAAAGTTATTGATTAAATTTTCAAAAGGACCAAAGATAATGATCCCACCATTTTGGTAAGAAGAAATAGAAGACATGAATGATGAAAATGAAAAAAAAATTCTCCTCTATCATAATAGAAAGTCAATATGAAAAGCCCATGATAATTGATTTAGAGTAAAATAAACATATTATTTAAATACATAAAATACCTAAAAAAACACACAAAGGAAAACAAAACAAAAGCTAAGGCCAAATGCCTGTGAGGAATCTGGGAGGACAGATAAGGCAGGGGACTGCTATTTTCATTATAAGCATTTTCATACTATTTTATTTTTGGACCATATATGTCTATTACTTTGATTGAAAAAAGTAAAAGAAGGCAATGTATCTAATCATCACCTTTGCTGCTTCCATTCCTTCACAAGTAGTTGCTTTAAGAAGATGAATTAAGAAATCAGACCAATAGGGACCCATTTATTTTAAACCCAGTGATACTATTAAACCATCATGGTTTTACATTTATTTGCATTGCTTTATTTCCATGAGCAGTAAATGTGTTTGCTCACTACTAGGAAAAGGAGAATGCACAGTCTGGATTTAGGTCTGTATTTGTTGCCTAGAGCTGCCGTAACTAAGTACCACGGACTGAGTGACTTAAACAACAGGAACTTGACTGTCTCACAGTTCTGGAGGCTACAAGTCCAAAATCAAGATGTCACCAGGGTTGGTTTCTTTTAAGGGCTGTGAGGAGAATCTGTTCTATGCATCTCCCT